TGCCCCTGCCTCTGATCCCGCAGGCCCGGCGATTCGGCAGGAGTTGTCCCGCCTGGGTTAGGCTCACCTGCCTGAGCCGGAGCCCGCAAGCCAAGTCCCAAACCCTGCTGGGCCCCCGAGCCCTGGAAGCGTGTGGAAACGCGGCATGTTGCGTGGGACCTGTCCGCATCCGGCACGGCAGAGGCTAAGGAGCAAAGCTGGAGCCTCCAGCATGACTTTACTCTCGTCGGTGGCAGTGAGAAAACAGTGTGGACATACTCACACAAGCTCCTTGTGGAAACCAGGTGGGCTCTGCCACAGTTCATTAATTCTGGCTTTGCTACATGAAGTAGCTCTACTGTTTCCAAAACTGTGCTGCCTGGGGAAGCAGGATGCTGCCTCCTGTGTGTTTTCCTGATACAAAGCAGCAGCTATTAATTTTTGCTGGGCCATTGTTAGCTCTATCCTTAGTTTAAATAAGCTACAGCCCAAGTGATGTCAGCATGATTAGTTTAGAAATGATTGTATATATTGGTGTTATTGAGCTACTTGTAATGTCTGTTCCAGTCAGACTTCCTCAGGTGCCAGTATGGATTCAATTACTGGCTATAGAGGCAAAAGGGAGGCTAGGTTTAAAAGCAGAGAGTGCAGACTTATAAATAACACCCCATTGTTTAAACTTTACAGGGATTTGCTTCAAAATATACCTGACCTCATCAGCTAATTAGATCAATCATGTTGCCTGTGATGTTTCCTCTGGGCCTGTTTATTGGTGGCAACTGACTTTGCAGCCTGCCTGAGCCCCCACATTAACAAGAGTTATTTTCTAGTTCATGATAAGCTGTTTGGCTTCTTAACTGCTGGTTAAAAGAAGGTAGGGTGAGCAGAAGACAAGTCACGGTGTTTCTTGATTTCTGCTGGCCTAACATAAAAATGCGTTAATAATCAGAGCAGGGATATGACAAAAGGGGGCACTCTAACCCTTACAATACAAAAAATTCACCCGCAAGTACACCACCTGAAAAAAACCTCTCTCTTCCCATGGAATTTTTTTCTTTTGAAATCTTGTTAATGCCTAAGCACTATTAAAGAGGCAGAAGGATATAGCTGTTTGGGGGTCGGGGAGGGAAATAGAGCATATAGCAATAAGTCCAATCGCAGAATCACAGAATGGTTGAGGTTGGAAGGGACCTCTGGCGATCATCTCGTCCAACCTCCCTGCTCAAGCAGGGTCCCCTAGAGCACATTGCCCAGGATCACATCCAGACGGGTTTTGAATATCTCCAGCGAAGGAGACTCCACAACCCCTCTGGGCAAGCTGTTCCAATGCTCAGTCACCCTCACAGTCAAGAAGTTTTTTCTCAGGTTTAGGTGGAACTTCTTGTGTTTCAGTTTCTGCCTGTTGCCTCTTGTCCTGTCGCTGGGCACCCCTGAGAAGAGTCTGGCCTCATCCTCTTGACACCCCTCCCTTCAGATACTTGTACACGTTGATGAGATCCCCTCTCAATCTTCTCTTCTCCAGGCTGAACAGGCCCAGCTCTCGCAGCCTTTCTTCAGAGAAGAGATGCTCCAGTCCCCTCATCATCTTGGTAGCCCTTGGCTGGACTCTCTCCAGCAGTGCCATGTCTCTCTTGTACTGGGGAGCCCAGAATTGGACACAGTACTCCAGATGTACTCCAATACCTCAGTGATGATCAAGAAGATCTCAAAACAGTTGTAAAGAGATGTGCAGGTTATGACTCGGAAAACTTTAGATTTGTACCTGACAATTGTCTTTAAAGAAGAGGATCCAATCCTTCCTTAGCTTCCTTAGCTGACCACTGTTGATTGCACTCAAACAAGGTCAGCTTGACAGACTGGAACTGCATCAAGCTCAGGGGTTCCCAAGCTACTGGAAGTGAACCTCACTTGAGGATACTTCATGTCCTTCTGGGACCAGCACCCAGGCCCTTCTCCCTGCGTCTGCTTGCTATGTGCTCTGTTCTGGCAGCCATCAAGGCAACACTGGTTTGCCTGGCTGGGTTAACCCATATCCAGTCAGGAGCACGTCAGCCCTCTGTATTTAAGGAGCACAAATGCAAGTGTGCTTGCAGACTGATCTTGACTTTCAGAAAGCAAGGTTCCTCAATTGTACTGTGCAAATATCTTGCCAGTGAGGGATCTCTGTCCTTGGCTTTCCTTTTTCAGAGACAGCTTTCTTGAGTTTGAAATACAGGTATAAGGGATTCACCTTCAGTTTTTCTGCTGAGCAAGTCAGATACAGGAGAGGGGGGGCTTACCTAGGTAACAAAATTTATGGAAATATATATCTCTTCAGAATCACAGTCATGAGTTAATCACTTTGGTAAAACAATTCTAGGAGTATGGTGAGATTCCTAAATTAAAGTTATCGCTGTGTTCAGATGACCTGACAAAGGCTAAACAGGTTCTGTAGGTTCTGAAACATGCTACGTTGCAGTCTCCAGTCACAGGCTCTGAGATTTCTTCTAACCACCCACGGCCATATTACAGCAGCCCCAACACAGCTGTGTGATGAGTGTCAGAGGGTGTGAAGAAGGGAATGAATTTTCATGTTGCCTAAGAGAACTTGGATACCTTTTTAGAGGAAAAAGAGTAAAAGGCAGTAACGCCTGCTATTATTGTTATTATGCATCTCTTTAGAAAGAGACACCTACAAGCGGCTGAGCTGCTCTGGAGTTGTGGTATGTTGTATCTTTGGGGCTGAGGAGAGGCAGTCGGATATCCCTACAGGCCAGATTCCAAGAGAAACAGGGACTCCTGAGAGCCTTCCTCACCTCCTCCTCGCTGGGGGTGCAGAAAACACCCACAATTGTTTTCTTCAGAAATGGGAACAAACACCAGCTCAACACAAACCTCAGGATCTGGCACGATACCAGCTTAACAGCGACCTCAGTATTTGGCACAGTTTGGTTTCAGTTGGATTTGAAAGTGGAAACATTGCTTTTGATAATTCCTTTTGAAGCCACACTTTGAAATATGTAACCTCAGTTGTGAAGCTCCTTCCTCTGCCAGTTATGTAAGAGCCTGGTAAAAATGCCTCTCTCCTCCTTTCATCTGTGCTTTGTTGGTTTGTACCATCATAACACCAGGTGCAGAGCCTGCGAGTGATCCCTGCTCTTAGAGGAATCGCCCAAAAGTCAGACTAGGAGGAAGAAAGACTAAAAAGTAATCACTCAAGCATTCAATAGGCCCTTATTGCCAGGCGATGCTGTGCTGTTATCTGGCACTTTTCTTCTGACGGTCTCCTGAGCTGCTTCTTTACTGGAGAAATGAAGGCCTAGGGAAGGTAACTGGAGGTACCAGGTAGACTCTGTGGTTTGGAGGGTCTCCACTGCTCTGGGGCTTGTACGGTGATGTCTTCCTGAGAGAAGTGGCTCAGAGCCTGCTTTTGCCCTAGCTTTCCTAAATCTTACTCTCCAATGGATCATACCTGTTAAAGCCTTATCAGTCACTGGTGGTACAGACGTAGCTCCCTTCAGATGGAGAAGGGCCATGTATATGCCACATTGGCTAAGTCCCTTAGGCTGTCTTGCAAAACCACATCAGCATGGGCACAAGGCAATGCCTGGATTTCTCCATGTCCTATTTATCCCAGGTACCAAAACAGCCTTTTGGGATTACTAGCAGCCAGGGAACCTATGAACTACTCCAGAAAGGTTTGAGCAAAGTGGATTTGGTTAGAATATTTAAACAATCTGACAGCAACTTTAGTCTTTCTGGAAACTTCCCTGTAGTGAGTTGTTGATCAGTCCAAGGCAAGGTTACCGTGCTGAAATTTAATAACCAGAGATATTGCAAAATGTTATTGAAAATGACTTAAGGTAATGGACCTTTCTGGCTTGAGCACCTGCTAATGTGGCCATCAAACGGCCACAATTTAATTTTTTTATGTTATTGTAGAGCAAGCAAAGAGGAGAGGGAGAACTGTTCTTCACACAAAGCATCTAGCACCGAGCCTGGAGAGGTAATGGACTGGAAAATGTTCAGCTTATTCTGTGAAAACATCCCCAGGCCTCGGTCATTTTGGAGCATACATCCTGTTGAAGTCTCATGCAGTTAACCCAGGCAGACCAACTGTGTATTCTCCCCTTTGCATGTGATTGCTGGAGCAATGGTTCCGTCTGCTCGCCTTTGCCTGAGGCTGGGCGAATGCTTCTGGCAAGGGGCACGGCTTTCGTGGCACATCACCAATGTGTTCATGCACACCTATTTTCTTCCGTTTTCTTTTTCCTTTCTTGCGTTCCAGCCCTGAAGGATAAATTGCTGTTATATAACCTTAATGGGAGAAAAGGACAGGTGCCAATGATTTCTATCAGAGTACAGGTGATATATGAAATATGAACTGGTCTGTTGGCAGTTTTGCCGGTGCTGCAGTTAGTAGATATTGGCCCTACGTTCAAAATCAAGTATGTCCTAAAATTTCTCTTGGAACCTGTGTTATTTTCACATCATTGAGAATTTAAGATGTGATTTGTTTTGCAGCTTCTCTTAGTGTTTCGACTGTTGATTGTGTTTCCACTTGGTTGGGATGCCTGGCACCCTTAAGGTTACAGAAGGGACTGCAATATTGGCTCATCTCAGTATTCGTAAAGCGCTAGGTTCTTTCAATTTTCTGGTTGTGCAAGACATTTTAAGGAGGAATTGAATCCAATGTTGAAATGAATCTAAAGTAAGTTCTAATAAACCAGATGTGTAGGAGACAATTGTTATAGCATTGTTTCAGAGTGAGACATGAGTTTGGAGAAGGAACCAGAATGTGTAATAAAGTAAGATTAAATACACTAAATGGTCTCTGAGGCCTTTCCATTAGTTAGTAAATTCTTGGGTCCTCTTGAGTTTTTTTTGTATGGGTCTGGATGCCAAGAGGTGCCTGTTTTCCTGGCTTTCTATAGTGCACATCTCTGGGACCATCTAACAGAAAGCCTCACCAGAAACACCATCAAATAAATAACTTGTTGTCCAGTGCAGGCAGTTCCTTCAGCACTTACATCAAACTGAAAGATAGCTCTTAGCTTGGGAACATCTACCTCATTCCAGAAATTTCAGGTTCTTTCCTTCAGAAACAGGCAGGAACATCTTGAGAACCTAAGGAGAGCGCTGAGGTGAAAGTCCATGTCCTGTTTCCTTAGATACTTAAAAAAATCAGG